TATAAATTGGATGAGCACAAACATTGTCGGCCTGTCCATATTTTTTTAAGGATTTTATAAATCTTTTATTYGTTTATCGTGCCTGGTCCATCTAGGAAGTAGGGTCTCCATTAAGTATTTATGAAATTATTAATAAACCGCGCGTAATTTTTATGACAATTTCTTTTACACAGACCACWGGTTCATTTTCAAAATCGTTGAGCCTTTGTATTTCACTTTGGGGCCACTGTGCACTAAGCTGACACTGAGAACGAGTAAAATTTTACATCAACGGTTTACCTGTCCATTTAAAATGTTGAAAGAGATTTTGCAAATAAAAATACAGAATCAGTAATATAAAAAATAATACATTATGTTGCCTATTCAGCGTGTATGTTTTTTGTATTTGTTATATTGATAGTGCCAACTTTGTAATAATAAGAAAATCATTTACTTACTGAAGTTAAATGGATTTGTTTGCGAATAATTCTTAAGTTGTTTGTTATAATTCGTTATTAATGACAACCAAAGATCATATGATGTTAATGGTATTGGCCATCGGGGGTGAGCAGTGCCATTATTATCGAGATGGTATAGAATAGATACAGACATACAGTTAAGAAACTAAAACAAGGGTCAGGAACATATATGGTTTTTATAAAATACATCTATACGACCATAACTATAGACCCGTAATAKATTAGTTATTTATTCGAAAAGTTCGGCTAACCTAACGATATGTTTTTAATGACTACTAATTCCTTGAAAAATTGCTTAGCAAAATATATTATAGAAGTTTTTTTAAGGATCATATAGATGAAAGATTCCCGAAATCTATCCTAGAATTTAGGTTTTGTTGCATCTATGGTAACCAGTCTTCGTCTTGTAGAGGATACTTATTTTAAAAATAAGGTATAGCTAGTACAGACACTATATATAGTCTTGAAAAGTATTAAATATATTCTCTAGGTACATCATGGCTGTGCGCATCATCCTTACAAAAAAAATAGTCTGGACGCTGACGGTACCGAAGATAGTTCGTGTTAGAACAGCCCTCATCCCTSTCATCCCTCAGTAGGCTCAAAGTGATGCTACTAGCTGGATTGCGAGGACTGCTCAGGTTCTAGATTGAATGCGATGAAGAAATGCCCCCTTTGTCCCCCCTTAACGCCTTCACTTCGTGAAGTGGTGGAGGGGGGCGCTGGGGACACGTACGTTGTAAGACACAGGTTTGATCTAACTAATATTATTAATTGCCGTACATAATATAAACTTTTTCTTCTCAATTTCTAATTTCATATTAAATTTTTTGATTTTCATAAAATGGATGATTCGGGGGGTCAATCCCGATCCCCAAATCATAACAGAATTTTTTCGGAGGGGGGCAGTTTCCCCCTCCACTATTGTGCACGACCTACGAATGAAGTCTGAACACGCCTATTATGATTACTGCAGTAGGTTAAATTCATTTTTACCACAACAATAATTATCATTTTGTGAATAAAATATAAAAATGTACGCTTTAATAATAGTCTCAAGTACTGATGTTCCTACATCCTACCCATTGGCCATTTATAATATATTCAAATAACTAAGATTGTTATTCTTGGTCTTAATATGTAATATTTCGTCTAAATTTAAATTTAAAATAACTAAATTAAACTGATGTTAAATATCATTTTTAGTTCCAGAATGGATTACTATTACTTACTTGGAAGCATATTTTAAACGTTCAATCATTAGCTTTAAAAATTAATTTTTTTTTTTTAAACAGCTCAAAACGTGTCAACATATTTTGAATTTTTTTAAATTTTTTTTTTATTTTTAAACGTAATACACAATCTGTATCGACTAGACACAATAAGCATATATGATGAGAGTAACAAAGATTGACATGGAACTTTGATGAAAGAAGCCACCCATCGATGGCACTTTCTATGGATTAATTTTTTTTTTCTTTTTTTTTTTAAGCTTATCTTAAGAGGTCACGACCCCACTTATGCTTCAAGCGTCTAGGGGGATTACCAGGTATGGAAGGAGTAGATAAGTTTTTTTATGAGTTCTTTAGATGGTTAATTAGTTTGGAATAGAATCTTTTATAATATATTTTGGCTTCGTCGTTAATTGTTTTGAGTTTGGTGTCAGTATAAAGGGTGTGATTAGACACGTAGGGTAGTGGTGCGTTCATTATTTTTCGGAKAGCGATATTTTGAAATGTTTGAATTTTCAGTATGTTAGACATTTTAGCGTTTCCCCAAAGTTGGAGTCCGTATGTCCAAATGGGTTTGAGAAGTGTTTTATAAATCAGAATTTTGGTTTTAATTGCGGTGGAGTAATTGCTTATTGAGGGTTTGAGGGTACGGAGACGATGATTCAGTGCTAATCTTTTGATTTTTATGCGATGAGCCCAGGTTAACCTTTGGTCGAGAGTGGGCCCGAGATATTTAATTTTTGGAGAGTAAGGGATAGGAATAGGAATACCGTATTTTAAAGTTAATCAAGTAAAGACAATTATAAAATAAACATTGATGTATTTTTCAATTATCTGCCTATTATATTGTTGCTACATTTATAATAATAAAAAAAGAAAATCGTTGCGTGAGAAATTGAGTGAATATCCAAATTTGAACTTTAAACGCTTATACAAAATCCAATTTGCCTTTTCGGTAGACGTTTTCTAGATTTAGRTAGACAAATTTTTGATAAATCTAGTATTAAATTTCAAATCTTATAGATTTAAAAAGAAAAATTTTATCTTAAAATAATTTACAAATTTTCATGATTTTTACGAACTTTGATAAAAATCTAACTTCAGATGTTCATAAAAAATTACCGTGAATTTTTTCAAAAATTTTCTTACAGCAACCTATGAGGAGCCGCGGTGTATTACATTTTTAAGTTTTCTGATCAAACTTTTTTTTGTTGATATAACTAAAAAACAAATTTCAAATTTCATATTATATATTTATATCTCAATAAATAAGTCGAAATGATGTATAATCGTTTAGAATAAAATGCTTAATTTAAATATTCCGTAAAAATTTCACATTTTCATGTATGAAAAGTAATTTTTTTAAATTATAACAAAAATCAAAATGGATTTTGTCAAAAACAGTTTTTGCGTAAAAATTCCCGTCATCTTTAATTTAATTTTTTTGTTTTTTTAAGCACTTTTGAAAACTACTAGTCATTTTAATTTTAACGTCCTGAATGCACTAACAGGATACACTTTCCCATAGGATTAGATATTGAAGTTGAAAAGCTTTGTCGAAGCCTAGCTCATTTCGATTAGGTACTCATATCGTGTACCGTGTACACAGACGCAAAAAATTAATAAAATCAAAATATTAAAAAACTAAAAAAAACATATCAGACAATCAGACTCATTACTCTGCTTAGAATCTAAAATATAATAACTTACTGCATGTTTATTAGGTTAGATACCAATACAGCTATAAGAGGCTATACCAACATTCAAACCAGCTACCTACTTCAAAATTTCAAATGTCATCAATATAACATAACGTATAATGTATAACTATACGTAAGTATGTAATATTATGTAGGTAGATTTCTACCTTGTATTACCATACACACCCGTTTATAATTTTATGCATAAATTAAATTTTTGTAACTTATGACTTGACATTCATTGAGTACATGGCCATTAGTATAAAACTGGTTTTGATTTGTAGGTACCTACTTAATATGAAAACAACATTTGAGCATTAGACCTTAGTAAGACTTATAAGACCTTCTGTATGTGATAGGTCCATCATACTGTTAGTTTTAACGTACTGCAATACATTTCACAATAATAATACAATTAAAATGATTAAAACTCAAACTCAAACATTTTTTTTAAAACTTAGTTTAATATTTTTGTACTTGAATTATACAAATGGTAAAAAAATATATTACTATATTATTCGTAATAATATGTACATTAATTATAAAATACTGAGTATTGTTTAGTAATGTACTAATGTGTATATAATATAAATAAACAATAGTACAACATAAGAGTAGGTATTTAATRTAAATAATTAAATACATATTTTTGTTTAAGGTTGTGTCAGTAATAAAAAACTTTACACTGAAATTGGTTGTAAACCTATTTATAGCAATGATTCAAATTCTTGTCCAGTGGCATATGACTGTGGTAAATATTTCTGTGCAAGATTTAAGTGAAATAAATATTAGTGTAATATTTAAATCTAACTTTTGTACAGAAAAAGTGTTTGCTAGACCAAGTAACAAGTGTTATCTTAATGGAAATGTTTACGAGCCAGTTGAAAGTCTTTCTAAAATTGACTCAGCATTAAACCCATGTTTTGCTGCCTGCTTTTGCGATCAAAGAACCTATGATAAGTATGATGATATCTATATTATGCATTTAAGTATTTAACTATGCTATATTTATTTAATATTAAAAAAATTTATAATTTTATAAGTCTTGTAAATGCCTTAAAAAAAAAATCATAAAGTTTCAATTTTGTGTAATTTTAATTATGTTGTATGCTTACTAGCCTATTATTTCTACTAAATAGTAATAATAAGTAAGTAAACCATATAAACTAACGGCTTACACCATTGACTACAAATAATTTGTATTTAAAATTAATGCTAACACCTACATGGACATAGTGGTAACTATCATTTAGTATTATATTAAATCAAAATTAAGAGAATTCAAGAAGTTAGGTTTACACTATAGCCTACCTACTACATTTACATTAACATTTAAAAAAAGTTTTCTTATAACTAATATAGGTACATCTCCAGTTAAATAGTTCTGTGAATGAAACAGAGTAAATAAACTTAAAAATTACATTTAAAATATCAAAAAATGCACTGTAAATTAAAATACTATGTATTATATGATACATTGATACATAAAAATCTATAAAGTTGTATTCAGAAGAAAAAACTATATTTTTAATATTTTAATTTGTTTACAAAAGTTTAAWAATAATTTATAACATTTCTGTAATAAGTTATAACTAGGTAACAGGTTTTGTTAAAAAATATTGAAAAAAGTAATAAATTGACATACAATTTCTATAAAGATTTAAAATTTCAAAAATGTTATAAAATGCAAAAATAATTAAAATCAAGATCCAAAATTCAATTTATTGATACCTAATYAAAACTCTGTGTTAAGAAAGCTATGTTGTACTCTACATTAGAAAGAATATAATCAATTTCATAAATTCTCTATTGATTTAGTCCTAGTACTTAATAACAAATAAGTTTTTATTTTAATCAATTAAAATAATACTTTTATATTTTATAGGTTATTTTTATTTTTTAAAAGTCAACACAAGTATTAAAACAAATTTAAATGTTTACAGTAAGACCACAACTAAATTTACATGTGCCAAGGTTGAATGTCCATCATATTTCACAAGACTAAGAGATCCATGTTATTATCAATATGACAAAGATTCATGCTGTGAGGTTAAAAAATACTGTCGTAAGTAAAGTTGGCCAAATTTTTATAACTTTCTAAGAGTAACATAGATTAAGTGTCATTGCTTGAGTCATAAAATGCGTTTGTTTTGCAATTTTTAAATGAATTAAATAAACTATTTAAACATTATAAAAATTTAAATAAAATAAAGTTGATAATTTTAAATTATTTGTTTTTTTAGCTGAAGAGAAGACAATTGATCATGAATGTGTACATGACAATCAGGTTTACAAAAATGGTCAACGATTTTATGTTGGTGATTATTTACAATGTGTATGCTCACCAGAATTTAATGGTAAATACATATTTTTCTAGAAATTTGATACATTTTAATTTTTAATGAATTTTATCCTAACATGTTACACAGTTAAAAGTTTATTGTATACTTAAGACTCACATATATATAGGTAATAACCATATTATATTACAAYTATAGTTGAATTCAAATTTTTTAATAATAAATTGATTTTTAATGAAATTTGAAAATATTTTAATTTAAATTGTTAAGAACATTAAAATAAATGGCTGATACTAAAAAAATAATAATTGATTAGTTCAGTGAAATGTTTTTTATTATTCAATTCTTGCTCTTAAGAGGAAAAATGTATTGCACCAATAACACCTTTTCCAGTTAATTTTTGGAAGGTTTCTCCTTTTGTGCTGTGTGATGATTGATTAGCTGATATATTATATAAATATTTGTAACCTTGATTCATTCAAAGTATTGCATACTCCTTGGTAGAAATAAAATAAAATGTACTTAAACAATTGTCAAAGCTCTAAGACTAAATCATTACYTATAACCTAGTTAAAAAAAAATTTTTCTCAAAGCTTTAATATTTATAATTGATTTAACTACTTTGAATGAAATAAATTTTAAAATCAAATCAATGTAATCACGTATTATTTATAAAATTTTACTATTTAAATAAACTATTTATTTATTTATTTAGGTAATTAATGAATATATATATTTTATTAATTTAATTTAGGYACTGTTAGTGATAAATCATGTAGAGAGGTTGGTTGCAGTTATGAGATTTTATACATGGAAAACATTTTAATACGAAGTGCTCCAGTTTATTTCGAAAAAGCGGACGGATGCCCTATTGAATGGTTCAATCGTAAGTTTCAATTTTTCTATAATTCATAATTTATTTGTATTACATAATATTATTTATTATTATATATTTATGTTTTTTAGCTGAATATAATGCTGCAACTGCTGATGAAATCACTTCTACCAGCAAGTCTAATGACYACAAATGCAAATATGGGGATTTGAGTTTCTCAGTAGGTCAAAATATAACTATTGGTCAACAATCTGACTCAGATACATACAAAACAACATGTTCTTGCAATACCCCTCCATTAGTTACTTGCATCAAAGTCAGAAAATAGAGCATTTAATAATAACAATATTATAATACTGGAATAGCGGAAAGCTGTAGTACCAAACRTTCTCTCTGAAGCCCTTCATCCAGACAACATAAATAACATAATTTCCTTTATAATTAAGACCAATCTTATAAATCTTTTGTAACTTGTTACCGGTATAAACTAATATTAATGTATTTTAAGACATAATGTAAACCTTGTAAAATTTWTGCGGCCTATAACATTAGACCCGGAGTCTTTAAATAAATTATAATAAAAAAAATATTATAGTACATAAGTAGTAACTATTTACAAAGATCACAAAATCATTGAATTCAAATTTAACACATCTATTACACTATTACAGTAATGCCTCTAGTCTAAACAATAGCACCAACTGTACAGCACAGCCTTGCCCTCATTTATATCTTTGATACTAAAAAATCTATAATTTATTTTAATTAAATTTTATTTGAATCCATACAAAAAAWAATGTTGATATCCAAATTKTTATTCATATTAAAATCTATTTTAAAATAGTCCAGCGAATTGGTTTATCGAATAGTAAACAATTATGAGTATATACAAATATTTTGTGTAGAATATTCTGTTGTACATTCGTACATATATTTTTTTTAGGGTCTTTAGGGCATAGTATAGCGGTTATATTAAGATTTTCTAGGTCATTTTTTAGTTATTTTAAGTACCATGGTGATAAGATGTTATGTATTAAAATTTTGGTAGTTATTTTATTGAGAGAATTTGGAAAATGGAAAAAAAAAGAAGCGTAATCTAAAAAATCCTGGATAAACCACTTAATTTATTACTTTAATTATATAATACAGTTTAAAATTCAAGACAAATTTTTATTTATACTTAACCCAATATCTATAAATACACATTATTTAGAGGATACATTTGAATGAAATAACAAATAAAGCAATCTTAATTAATTTTTTATTTTATACTTTTCTCATAATTAATTAAGTAATGCTGAAATACACATGAACACATACAATAAGATATAAGAAATATATTATATTTATTATTGAAGAATGCAATAGCGAATGTTCAGTAAAGCAGATAAAAGTGATATACTATTGAGTATTAATTATTGTAATTAAACAGGTAAGTGTATATTAAATATAATAAGGGACCCTACTTGTGAAATATTGCACTAAATAATAAATTTACAAACAAATTTTTACAGAGTGTTGACATATTGTTATACTTAAAGACACCTGTAAAAAAAGTGCATAAATAAATTGCACGTCGTTTCAATAATTTTACTTGAGCCTCTGTGTTACACTCGCAAGTGCAACTGCAAATGCTTGGACGGCAGAAAATGGGTGTTGAAAGTCTAGAGCAAAATTATTGCGGTCAATGCGCCCAAACTGCATTACTTGTATTCCATCATATTCAACTTGAAAATTTTTTGCCGATTCTTGAGTAACACGACCTCCAAAGTCCAACTGGTAGACTTGAGTCAAATCATTCCAGATGGGTGCTTTGTTTTGCATAACAAATTGCTGTCTTTTGGTGCACATTTCAATCTATAATTTAAGAAAAAATTAAAATATTTTCTATGTTTAAATTTAGCTGATTATATATATTATGTCAATTACTTTATTTTTTATTTGAGATTTTTGAAAAGTTTCTAAATTTTGAAAATCCGGTTCAATTTGAGTTCTGAGGACTTTACGAAAAAATAATGGAGAGTTCATTAATCGTTTCCTGGAAATAAACAAWGTAAAAAATTATTATAAATTTTATTTATAATACAAACATCAGTAATAAACTAATAATTAATAACAATACAATTATTTTACAATTATTTTACCTTATAGGCGATGATAAACCACTTTTCTTTTTAGCTGCAACTGGACTAGATGGTAAACTGTGAGCAAATGTCTCTGAAACCTTAGAGTCTTCGACCACTCTAGACACAGCAATTTTTGGATTTGATGATCCAACACTACAACTTCGTCGTCTTTGAAGTTGTTTTGGTGTTGGAGAATCATCTTCTATTGATTGCCCATCTCCGACAATAGATAGTGTCATTTGACGAGGTTGTAAATGTAAAATGGATGTGCGGTATGATACTCTTCCTAATTTTTGAGTCAAATCATCACACAGACCACGAATATGGAATTCTGTACCCCAAACATTTGCTGTAACTTCTGCCAAACGATAGTCCTACATAATAATAATAAAACAATTRTAAYACATTGCAACACTTTTTATATTAATGATTTTATTTAAATACTTCTGGTAACACATCAGTGTAACAATTTAATTGTAATTTCCGATTACAACATGCAGGTCTTGATCTATGTCTATTTTTTCGATGAAGCTTAGGGCTAGAGCAAGATTCAGGTTCAGAATCATCCCATCCAAAATTACTATAAGTTATCTGWGCATTAGCGTATGTTGTATCTATATAAACAAATATACTATGTTAACATTATATGCATATTTAACTTTTAAATTAATAATAGTAGTAGTATATTCTTTAATCATAATAATGAATGAATATGGAAACCATTCTTCATAATATAATTAATTAATAGTAAAAAATGTAACAATGTACTTAGTATTTACCATCTACTTGTGGATCAAAAATCACGAATTCTGGCCGTAGCATACTGATTCGTTTCCCTTTAAGCAATGGCACAAGTCCTCCTAGGTATTCCATGTATAGTACATAACAGACTGGTGGTGTGGTTTCTGGACCATTGACATGTTGTACAACGGTACAATATAAACGGTTTTTTGGTGAGCTACTAACAAACTGACGCAATTCTGACAACTTGGGCACTTCACACTAAACAATATTTTTTATTTATTTAAACAGTATATTACTAAATTGTATTGGTTAATCATAATAATTATTGTAATATTAATAATTTGCTTACATAAATAGTTGATGATGAAATAGCTGTTAAAATTTCTTGAATACTAATAGGAAGTATGTCGTCTGATGGAAACAATGATTCATCACACATTCGTAATGCACAGAGCACATATAAAGGAACAACTGAAGCAGACACACATGCAACATGTATTTCTGGTCCTGTTGCTATAAAAATCCTTCGGTCGTTGTGTGCCCAAGTTACAGCAGTAACTACGGCCTAAAATTTTAAGAATTTTATTGTAAAAATTATTTAATAAATATAACACAATAATAATAGTATAAATAATAGTAATAATAGTATTAAAAATGGGAACTTGCCGAAGATTGAGGCATGTTAATGGAATAAACTAATTGACCAGTGGCAGAATAAATTTGCACAACGTTAGCACTTAGCCTTCCAGGCCTTGAACCAGCAACACAAAGTAACTCTTTCGCATTAGACCATTCCATAAAAATAGGACATAAACCTGTGCGTATTAATACTGGAGCAGGGTCATCAAATCTCCGCATTAACTGAATAGTACCATTTTTACAACAAAGTGCTAACACATGTTTAAACAAATCTGGAAATATATTACATCCAAACAATAAAAAAATCTTAATTTATACAATTTAAGATTCTGAGCGGAGTGAGGAATGTATTGATTTTACCACGATGTGTGTTTTTTTTGTGTCAGTAATCACGTTTTGGGGCAGTAAAAATGGTACTATTTAAGTATATTCTATCCACCAMRCAATTTTCAAGTTTCGACTTAAGTTGAACTAATTATAGGCATATGCAAATTTTKATCATTATTATTTTTTTTAAAATAAATATTGATGAAAATGTATTTGTTAGGTAGAAAACCTTGAAAATTTAATACAAGGCTCCTAACATATTGTTACAATAGCAATTGAAAAATAAAAGAAATACAGTCACAATTTTTTTTTATTAACACGAAAATTCGCAAATTATTTTAAGCTAGAAATTCATAAAAAATTTTCTTTATAAATCTAAGATTTGAAAATTTAATTAATGATTTCTTATAAGTTTGTCTACATTTATATAAAAAAAAAAAAATGTCCACCGGAAAGTCAAATATTTTAATAAGTATTAATAATAAGTAATAATAATCTATAATATATCCTAGGCAGGTAAACCGTCTCCACTCAGAATCGTTTWTCGTATACAATGAAATAATATCATTGAACTAAAATTTAATTCCATCCATTACAGTAACCCACTTGTAACCTACTGTACAGCAGAGTGATATCCACTTTCCCACTTTTTTATAGTTAATTTTAGTCAATATACTTACGATCTGATTTTATTTTGTTTTCATTCATGCAAAACTTTTCACAAGACCAAGACATAGAAGATATTCCAGAATCATCTGACAAGTTAACTTGAGATACTGGAGCTCCATGAATATCCAAAACTTTCATCTGCCCTCTGCTAGTTCCAAAATATACCTAAGTGCAAAATCATATTGTTATTAATAACCAATACAAATTTATATTTATTGAAAATTTRAAAAAATACTTGTTGATCATCAGGGGACCAAGCGCCACATGTAACTGTTCCCTCAGGATGTAACATAGAAGACCAGTACCTGTGACCAGTAACTGAACCAACTAAAACAAACCCATCCTGAACAACAAAGAGGTATACATAATTATATAACAAGAAATATTTAATAATAAAACCATTATTTATATAATACTAACTTGGTAGCATATAAGTGCCAATCTACCATCATGAGACCAACTAAAATAAGTAACTCTAGTATTTCGGTCATTGATAAGTTCAACATTCCAACGACAATCAAACTTAGCCCAAACATTTATAACACCAGAACTATCACATGATGCCAATTTTTGGTATGGTTCGTTCCATTTCACAAGTACAACCTTTAAATAAAAATATTCACAAAAAATAAAATAATTAAAAACAAAAATAATTTAGAAAATAACAAAATAATTTCATCTTTCTTGATTAATAAAAAATAAATGTATAGATAAATGTTTATAATGTGGGGGTCAATTCCATACACTAGAAAATATATAAACTTCAAACTTTTCGGATTAACAGTTTCTAAAGAGGAATATTATATATTTAATGATAATAGCTAATAAATTTAAGCTATCAAAATTGTTCATTAATAGTGATTCATGAAACATTTTTTTTTTTTTATGTGACTTATATACAAATAGAAACCAGTTTCAAGTCTTAAAAAAAATTTCTGTAATATTATTCCTCTTCAAAATAAATTGTTGAGGATTACCTGGATAAGTAAATTAAAATTATTAAAATCAAGAAAGTGATATATTTAAATTACATATTATAATTGTTAATACTCACCAATAATCAAATGAGAAAACCCAAATCAATAATAATAAAAAAAAGTGCAGTATTCAAATGTAACATAAAATTGCTGTAAAACTAAAAATAAATAAAATAAAATATAAAAATAAATAGCTAAATAATTTATAATTTTTAAAATAAATAATACATTCAAATAAAATCATAAAAATATTGCATTGCATTTATATACCTAAGTATAAAAAAAAATTATAAATGTAATCAAGGAAAAATACAAGCATCATACCTTGGCATGATGATTTCTTAAGTTGTAATTAGTGCGGAGTGGTAATCTTTCACTGTTTGGTCCACTATTTGATGGTATAGAAGTAAACGTAACACCAACAACTCCTTGAGAATTTCCAGTAGCCAACCAACCTTGTTTATAGTAATTATGTCCATCCAAGTTCCATCCTTCTGCCTATATTTTTATTTAGAAAAATTTAATTTTTTTWAAACTTAAAACATAATACAACAAAAACATTTTGACCATAATATGTTTTCCAAAATCTAATATAATTTGTTAGGCTCTTTTTACCTACAAGTAATTTATTCTATGATATATATACAAATATATAATGGTTTTTCATATATATATTTTTGTTTATCATAGGTGGAAAATATA